TGTGTGTGTGTGTGTGTGTGTGTGTGTGTGTGTGTGTGTGAGGATGTGTGTTTATTTGTGATCGATGGGGCTCTGTCTCCATTTCCCCAGTTAGGGCCGGCCGGCTGAGCCCAGAGGCAGAATGAATGGCTCTGTAGATTGATTGGTGCTGTCTAGGGGAGCGGCCTGCTTTATTACATTAGATGGGCAGGGCCGGGGGAGGGCAGGGGAATCGATCAACGTGAGGCCAACCGAAGAGATACAGTGTTGTTCCCCTTTTTAGGAGCTGGAAGGTTAAAGCAGATGCAAACTCGTAATGCAAAATAGCAAGGATGCTTAGGGAATTTATCTTTAACTGTAAATACTGTATGCAAATGAGGTTGTGAGGAGTTCACGCACATGAATGTTTGCTCAAATACGGAAGGATAAACATGTTGATGCATGAGTGTGCACAATCTTTTATACATTTCTGACTGAAGGAGGAAACTCCTTTTTATACACACATTTCCCACAGGAGTAGTGTAGTGCTCAGAGCATTTACCAGTAATTACCACAGCTATCGACCAGTCAGACCAAAGGAAATTGGAGGTGGATTGGCTCTGCTATTTCACTGAAAATAGGGGATGCTTACCTCCCTTTTTCACACTCCTTCCCTGCTCAGTTTCTCCACCTTCTTTGCTGTTAGTCGCTCCTTTTTACTCTCCTAAGTTCTTCATTTTTTTTACCATCAGTTCTTCAGTCATTTTTTTCCTTTCCTTGTTTCACCAACACTCCCATCTTCTTCTACCCTTTTTTTTTACTAGGCTCCTCTTTCATTTTACGTCCATGTGTAGCTGCTTTTCTCTTATTGTGTGCGAGATGCATCTCTTATTGTTTACACACATGTAAACACACGCACGCACACACACACTAAAGCTCCAGGGGAGGTCATTAGCTTGGGGCTGCAGTTGTCAGAGCAACAAGCTTCTGTGGGCGGGCGGTACGGGGATACAGACTAACAACCCACCTCCCGCTGAGGGATGCATGAAGGGGAGGGGGCGGGTGTGTGTGTGTGGGGTGGTGCTGTGTGGCAATAATGCTCCAATTATATGTGTAATGGGAAGCCAGTGCCCTTTAAGAACATCTTGTGTACAACTATCCTTCATATCTTCAACTTTAGTTTACCTGTCGTCTCCATTAGAGAGACTACAGGTAGCTCAACTCAACCCTGTTTTGTTGGTTGAGTTACTAATTTTTACCTCCCAGAGTTATTCAGGACATAAGGTTGAATCTGTTATTTATTTGAGATTTTCTCTACTCACACTTCAAAATGAAGCCTCACATGAGTTTTGCAACTTTGAGTGTGTTTGGCTTTGCTTAGTAAATTAGATTAACTGGGATAACCTAATAGTAGCTGGTCAAACTATTCTTCGACAGCCTAATCTCTTAACTTTTCTACAAAGCTAATTATAGACTTAGAACGGGATCCTGCAAATGGATGGATATGTTTAGTCTGCCTGAAATAGATCTTTACTTAAAGCTCTCTATGGACAAGTTGGATGGGACGATGTTAAACCTTCAGATATGAAGTCAAACGGTTAAGCTCACTGTGTTTTTAAGATTCCTCATTTAAATGCAGCAGAGAGCAGTACATACAGAAGGGTCAACCAAAGTGAAATGTTGCATGGTCCAAATAAAAGCGCAAGTCTTCGCAATGATCCTTTAGTGTTTGGGTTTTGATTCAGCATCACACACAAGAATAACAACTCATTTCTGATGAAAATGAAAAAATAGCCCCTTTACCTGGGTTGAAAATTTTTCTTGTCACCCTTTACTCGTTCACACTGCTAAGAGTAAAAGGTGTTCTCTAACTGAATATTCCTCTGTAAGTACCATGTAATTAATAAATGCATCAAATTTAATGACAGTAAATCACGTCTCCAATTGGTCTTTTCCAATTAGCGTTAAATTGTAAAATTGTTGTTATCGAAGATGATGTGTGTTAGGATGGCCCACTTTTGCATAAAAAATGCAGTAAATAATGAAAAATTACCAGACTATTCTCCAAATGTCACTATTTGACTGACTGGTGTTTCCGCGTTTGTTTTTCTCTTCATGCAAGGGCCGAACATTATTCACAAATGGCAGCGTAGAAAATTCTGAACTATTTCAGACTCTTTTTTTTTTAGATAAGTTGTGAAAAATGAGACATTTCAGTTTTTTTAACTTAATGATTTATCTGTAATAATTTGCTCTGCTTGGTATTGTATAAGCAACTCTGGCACATCAGTATTGAGGCCTAAACAAGATGTCATGTAACCCCAACCCTGAACTCTTTTATTTACATTCTTCTGAGTAAAGTCATTTGTAATCCTGTTAAGAATGATCTTTTTATTTACTTGTAGGTATATGCCATATTCTGTAATAGGTTAAGCACTTACTGGTTTAGTTCACGACTTGTAGAGAATACATTTGTTCTTGTTTAAGCTCACTCAAGTACATAATTGGCTGAACCATGGCAGGGTCGGTCGTTTGGTGAGCTGCCAGGTGTATGTTTATGTCAGGGCTTTCCAATTAGAACAAGTATGTTTCAGCTTAAGAGGAAATCTCTTCTTCAGATTTTTTTTAGGAATTGTCAGACCCATTAAAACCATTAAATAATTCTGAGTGCAAGACATGGATTTTTCAGGAGCTGAAAATATCTCAGCACCTACTAGTTGATTCTTTCTTTTTAAAATCCACTCAATTAATTTTTAGCCAATAAGTATTTCTTTGAGTTCATATTGTAGGTACTTTTTGTAGCTTTGCCATTTATTATCCTAAGACACTTTTTAAGAAAATGAAGTGAAAACATTTGTGTTGGTTGCACACTTTGCAAACGTTTTGTGTTGTTAAAAACCGAAAGTCTTTAGCTTGATGACTGCATTTTCTCTTGCCTTTCACAAAACTTTATTTATTTTTTTCCTCAAGTCACTAATTTTGCTCAAATTCTAATTACATTTCCCAACTCTGCTTCAGCAGTCACACCACAAGAACAGATGGCCCTTTGAATTGTTCACGTTCAACATTTGTTTTTGTGTTGTCCTCTTTACTTTGGGTGGGATTTGTTTCCTGTTGAACCATTGCTGCGTTTGATGGCTCCTCAGATTCTCTCTTCACGCGGGACGTTTTCTTGATTTGATTGGACGATATGTAATTTGAGACTCTTTATCTGATTTGATGGAACCGAGGGGGTATCTGGTTTCAGCCAATTGTAGCCACCTCCGGGGTTGTGGGGGGCAGACGGATGTGTTGGCATGGATACGAGGGGAGAGCAAACTAAGTTAGTAGGTGATTAGATTATGTTGAAGTGCTGATGGGAAGGAGGACAAGAACACACAGGACAGAGGGAGAGCTAAAGAAATTAAGAGAAGCAAAGTGAGATCGCAATAACCTTTTTTGCACCGAGCGTGTGTTTAGTGATGCTAAAAAATGGCTCAAAATAGAATTTGTGTGTAGAAAAGAATGGATGAGTTTTATTACATCATAGCCTGATGAGGGTTTTTCTGTGTGTATGCATCGAAGTGTGCGTATTTGTGTGTGAGCTCTTGTGTTACTTTATTGGTGTAACTGAACAGCTGTCATTTGTAAATGGATGCAATTATGTTATTAACAATTGAATCTCTTTTTATCTCTGTGTTTCTTCCGTCATCAGACTGAGATTGCCAAGAGACTAAACACCATCTGTGCACAAGTCATTCCCTTCCTCTCACAGGAGGTAAGTGTGTGTGACTGACTTCAATCTGCAGATTTCTTTTTTTTTTAACCCACTACCATGGTTTCTTTAATCGTTTTTGACAAGCAGCGTCGAGCATAATTTTGTCTTTATGTTTTGCAGCATCAGCAGCAGGTGGTTCAAGCTGTGGAACGAGCCAAACAGGTGACCATGGCAGAGCTAAATGCTGTCATCGGGGTACGTGGACTGCCAGGTCTTCCACCTACAGTGTGTATTTTTCTAATTTCTCTTCACTTACACTTGTTTTCTATGTTAAGATGAATTTCTGTTCTTTTATCTGATAGAAGTGCATTCTTAGAATTCGCTTATAAAGATCCTAAAAAGAAAGATAGTACTTAGTCCTTTTGTGCAATTGTATAAGACAGTGTAGTTTGTGCTGCTCGACATAAAAGTACTGTTTTCTTATAGAATGTCAACCCAAGTCCATTATCTTTAGTTGGAGCAATAATGTATAGTCATTATTATATTACCCTATAAAATGTTTCTGTTTCTTGTCGAATAAACTATACTAAACATTACAATTAACACAGCATTTTGTAATGAATAGTCATCAAGATTTTGATAATATAAATTAGAGTTAGTTGGAGATTTTTAAATTAAGTTTTTTATTAATGTTGTGCATTAACTGTTTGGGAAATTGAAGTTTCTTCTTGAATAGAACATTTTCTATTTTTGAAATGATTTTTTTTGTAAAAGTAAAAACTACACAAGGAGAAAAATGAAAATAAAAGTGTCTTGTGTAACTCTGACGTTATGAATCTGTCCTTACACCTCAAACTGATTAGGTGGTGACAGTTCACTCTGACTTTTATGTTCAGATTTATAATTTGTATCTGTAAACATGTTCATAAAAACACCTCATTTTATTTTATTTTTTTAAAAAGAGGACGTTTATTGATGACACTTGATATAGGGATTGACAATAATTCCGCCGCCCCCAAGCCATTGGCCTTTGACAGGCGGAGGGGAGAGGCTACAAGTTTGAGTAAGGTGAATGTGGGAAAGAGGGTGGGGGTATGTGTGGCTTTAGTGGGCGGTGGGATCAGAGGGTGGTTTGGTTAGATGTGGGGTGGGCTTGTTAGTTGGCGTGGACTGATGGGGGTCTGTTTTTTTGTGTAATGGGGTGAGAGGTGGTTTTGGCAGTTGCTTTTTGAGTCTTAATTGCAGGATTTTGGTGTTTGTAATGGGGGGTGAGGGGTGGGGTCACAGCGTTGCCCTTACACCCACTCCCCCACGTCTCCCACGCCAGCCTGTCATTCACCCCGATTGTGAGTTAAATGAGTGTAATGAAGCATGTTGCCCTACTGCTACACACACACTTAATATGTGTGTATACACTAGCTCACTCTAACATCCCATGACAAACTGGGCTCTCCTTGCCTACACCAATACTTCCCCTCCATTTATTCCCGTCAGGGGTGCTTTTTGTGTAACTGTGTGCATGTGTGCATCTGTTTTTGCGTGAGCCTGTGTGTAGCAGAGCGTACATTTCTGTTATCCACAGAAAACAACATGCAGGCAGGAGTAGGACGGTTGAGTGAGGGTGCTTCTGCCTGCCTTGTTTATCTAAACTGTGTGTATACATGTTAGTGCGCTCAGGTGTGATGCGTGGGTGTGTTTATGTTTCATTTTTTGGCATGCGTGCATACTCTGAAAATTGCACGTCAGGCAGCCATGGGGGCTAAAAGACTGTTCAGTTGTTGTGCTTTCATTCATTGAGGTGGAGGTAGAGAGTGAAGATGGATGGAGACGGGGGGAGAAGAAGGTGGGAGCTGAGGGTGGGGTGGGTTAGTCAATTAGGTGAGATAAAAGTCGGTTTGACCTTCAGCGCTCCTCCCACCCCTGCTGAGTTGCCTCCTGTGCCCCCACCACCTCCTTTTCTCTCCCTTCTTCCTCCTCCCCTCTTTGTGGAGAATCTGTGAGCTTGGATTCCCGCGGCTGCTGTCTGAGGAGGCAATAATGATGTTTTGGAACACAAAGACATTTCACGCTCAGACGAGCACCTGATTTGGTGTGAAAGAGAGAGCAGGGCTGCCAGCTAAACTTGCCCTGCCTTTCTCTCTGGCTGACCCTCTTTGCTTCTTTCCCTCCTCTCCTCCATCCTCAGCCGCTTCACTCCCTCACAAGACCTGACAGTGCAAGCAGCAGCTGGGACCCTTTGACTATCTCCCCTCCGTCTCCTTCGTCAGGCCTCCTTTTCCTCCTCATCTCTCCCTCCCCCTCCTCTCTCCTCGTTCACATCCTCAGGCTTTGGGCTGTGATCCCAGCTGTCAGTATTGTTCAGTGTTTGACCAAAGACGGAGAAGTGTGTTTGAGTGTGTGTGTGAGGGGTGATGTGTTCACTCTCTTGTAGAGAGCAGCAGCTTGTTGTGGTGGTGTAAACCCCAGACATTAAAGATACTATCCCATCTGTTGCACACTTTAAGGGCCAGAAGTCTTGATTGATTAGGTTACAAAGTGTTATTGATTATTTTACTTGTTGGTGACTATGTTTCATTTATACATACTTCTAAGTATTTGGTTTTAGATGTCAATAGAATGCACTTTTATGGCAGCTGAAAAATACACTGGGTTTATAAGATGGCAGTGGCTCATTACTAACAACTCAATCTGTTTTACTTGATACTGTTAACTGAGCCGACGTCACTCTATTTACACAATCTTTGAAATTGTTACTTTTTATCTACAGAAATTACAATAAAATTAATAAAAGTTTGTATTTTTATATACAATTTTAAGTAGCGTATATTGTCATGGTAAAGAGAGTAAAAGTTGTTTCTATTTTTAACATCTTGTATGCTTTTATTTGTAATGTCATAACATTTGCCACTTTTAAATCCAACTTAGAGGCTAGCCATCATTGTAAATTCCTCCTTTTTTATTAGTCAGTGCTGATTGATGTCACTTTTTTCACCTCCTCATAAATAAGCAGACAAAATAGTTTTTGCTGTAACTTGTGACAAATCTAGTGAATTTGATTACCTTTATAGGAGGAGTGCAACACCTCTTCATATTTGTTAATTCATACATTATTTTTCCAGGTCACCTAGTCTCGCACCACAAATTATCTATTTTGCAGAATCTGTAAATGTTTGGTGTCTTTTCTTTCAACTGATCACCGCTTTCTTCTTCTGGTTGTCTTTAGCAACAGCATCTATCTCATAACCACGGCGGTGCTCCTGTGCCTCTCACCCCTCATCCCGCTGGCATCCACCCCTCTCAGTTAGGAGGTTCAGCTGGTCTGCTTGCTCTTTCTGGAGCACTCGGTGCTGTTCCTCCCCATTTGGTAGGAAAAGATGGCGGCGAGAAAAAACCTCATCTAACTGGACCAGATTCTCACCCCACAGGACCTGATCACCTCAGAGGTAAGGCGGGTGCACCCTGAAATACAGCTATTGCACTCATTCAGACACAAACATTATTAAAACATTCACCTGAAACTACACTTTTTGTTTTTAATAAACTAATTATACTAATTGTGACCAAAATAGTTTGAGGTTTCTCTGTCTAAACTTTAAGTTGTTTGTTAAAAAGATGCATTCGACTTTTTTCCCCTCATGTTTTTCTGATGTGCTGAAACCCAACCCTGTGACCTCAACCACCCGTGTTTTTCAAATGGCAATAGAGCGAGAACCTGGCACAGTAAGTACTTTCTTTAACTGTTTCTGTTCTAACTGTTCTATTTGTTTCCTTGTTTGTCTTTAAAGGATAAGTTTGGTTTTGGGAACTTGAACTTGTGTAAGATTAGTCTATCTCAGTTCAGTTGATACTGACCCATGGGTCAGTAAAATTTGCTGAACTTCAGTCTGAGTAACATTTCATTTGACAAAGCAGTTTGAAGCATCTGTCAAAGTGATTTGGATTTGTGCTTCTGAGTGAGGCCATTTGTTGATTTCACTTGTGATGCTTTATTGGGTTAATATTAAAGAGGTTGAAACTAATATTTGTTACACAGAAACAAATCTGTGAAACCCATGTTTATATTTCAGTGTTTTGCAACTCAGATTTTTTTTTTCAGTAGCATTGCTTTAGATTCCAACCTTCTGTAGTTACCTATCTTTTGTTTCAGAGGAAACAAGTGCAGTTGTCTTGTACACGATTGGCTGAACCACAGCAGGGAAGCTATGGTTTCACTCATCAGCGTAGTGTAAACTGGGCCTAAAAACGGCATCGTGTAAACTGGAGCCTTGGCCTGCCTGTTTAGTTCTGCCCTAGATCTGCTCTGAACTGTTAGGTTTGCTTTTCTCCTCCAAATGAGCTTTTTTAACGTGAATGCGCAGACACACACACACACACACTCATGCGCACACACACACTTCTCCAGCCTAGCCTGCATTGTTGTGCCTATTTAACACCTCAGTGAGCAGATTACCCCCCACCTCCCCTCCCCTCCCCCTCCACCGCCCCTGATCCCACACTTAAAGACTCTCATTGTGTTTAATATCACCACCGCTGAGAGGGGAGGGCTTGGGAAAAGGTGGGAGTGCAGGAGCAGCAGTCATATGACACTGTGTGTGTGTGTGTGTGTGTGTGTGTGTGTGTGTGTGTGTGTGT